TAGTCATAGCATACATGGCAGCAAGAATAGCATCAAAGTCAAGGTCAAAGATAGCTACTCCCACCCTAGACAGCTCACCCCAGCGGGGGATCTCAGTGGCCTCCGGGAACTAGTGACGCCAAGCGTCCGTCAGGCGGCCAAAGCAGCGCTGGGTGGGGTGCGCACCCCAACACTGCTCACCCGCGCGGTCGTCGGTGCGTAGGACGTAGGTGCACGGACCAGTACCCCCACCCCGCTGACGTGCAGCGTACCACTCACGGATCTGCTGAGGGGGGGGGATGTCCCGAGTGCGCTGCTGTTGCTGCTGCTGCTGCTGGCATGGACCACCACCGGAGCCGGCCCGCTGTGTAGCGCCACCCCGACCAGCTCCACCTCCTCCGCCACCGCCTCCTCCACCGCCGCCACCTCCGCTACCTCCGCTCCCACCGCCACCGCCACCGCCGCCTCCGCCTCCACTGCCTCCAACGACACCTCCACCCCCGCCACCACTCCCACCCCCACCCCCACTCCCTCCGCCGCCTCCACCGCCGCCTCCACCGCCCCCGCTAGCTCCTCCAGCGCCCCGGCCCCCCTTGCCCTTGCCAGAGCGGCGTCTCCCGCTAGGGGTAGACGCTGCACCGACCGACTCAAGACCAACGAGGTCGGCTACAGCAGCAGAGGCGACAGAGGGCCAAGGGGGGGAGGGGGAACACCCCTCAAAGGTGGGGGTGCGAGGGTCACCACGAGAGGCTCTTACAGCGACTATGCTCTTCTCTGCTGCTAGGAGGGCCTTCTCGAGGAGGTCAACGGTGAGAGTGGTGGGGCAAACAGAGAGGAAGTGGTCCTGGACTACGCGAAGAGAGTCAGGGAGCCGGGTGACTATGTAGTAGAGGGTGATGTACATGGGGTGGGGGGGGGTTCTTGGCGCAGAACTCAGCAGGAAGCGCAGCGCGGTAGTGAGTGTCACTAGTGCGGAGGTGCGTAATGAGGTCAGCGACTGTAGGAAAGGCAGCAAGGTCAGGGAAGAGGTACGGTAGCATGAGGTAGCTCAGTGGAGCAGTGGCAGGGGAGGAGTAGCATGCAACTACAGCGTCGTACAAGGTCTGAGCACTCTTGTACTAGCTAAAGTGTGCACGCTAAGAGGTAGGCAGGTGGCGACGCACAGCAAGACGTGCAGCAGCATCGCGTGTGGCCCACTATGAGCGAACAGTGGCGTCAGCATCAGCAGCACGGGCAGGAGAGGCACCAGAGGTGAGGTCAAAGAGGGAGACACTGTCTGCCCTATCGCATTGTAGGAAAAGCTGCAGGTCATCTATCCACACGTCAAAGTCAATGGCCCCACCCTCAGCATCAAAAGCGAGGACACTAGGGGTAGCCATGACAGCAGTACTCTAGTAGCGCGAACAGTGGGGTAAGGGCAGTGCAGTGGTAGAGGTGCTGCTCTTACCAGATAGGGGCGGCTCAAGCTGCTCGGCGGTGACTGCAGCTCGGGCAGCTCGGGCGACTCAGCGGCTCGGGTGGCTCGGGCGACTCGGCGGTTCGGGCGGCTCGGGCGACTCGGCGGCTCGGGCGGCTCCGGCAACTCGGCGGATCGTGCGGCTCGGGCGGTAGGGGTAGGCGACGGGGCCGGGGCCGCAGGTATGCGACGGGGCCGGGGCCGCAGGTAGGCGAAGGGGCCGGGGCCGCAGGTAGGCAACGGGGCGGGGGCCGCACGTAGGCGAAGGGGCCGGGGCCGCAGGTAGGCGACGGGGCCGGGGCTGCAGGTAAGCGACGGGGCCGGGGCCGTAGGTAGGCGAAGGGGCTGGTGCCGCAGGTAGGCGACGGGGCCAGGGCCATAGGTAGGCGACGGGGCCGGGGCCGCAGGTGGGCGACGGGGCCGAGGCCGCAGGTAGGCGACGGGGCCGGGGCCGCAGGTAGGCGATGGGGCCGGGGCCGCAGGTGGGCGACGGGGCTGAGGCCGCAGGTAGGCGACGGGGCCGGGGTCGCAGGTAGGCGACGGGGCCGGGGCCGCAGGTAGGGCGGCGCGAGGGCCGCGAGGTAGGCAACGGGGCCGCAGGGCGGCGGATCGGGGCCGGGAAGGGCGGCGCGGGGGCCGCAGGGCTAGGCGACGAGGTCGCTAGGGCGGCGGATCGGGGCCGAGAGGGCGGCGCGACGCAGCCGCTAGGGGGTCGCGACGGGATCAGAGAGGGGAGCGCGACTCGGGCAGGGGCTGAGCACGCTACGGGCATGAAAAAAAAAAAAATCGAATCGGTGGGCCCTAGGAACAATTCCCACGATGGAACCTGCTCGATACCATGAGAAAACTGAAACGAGAATGAAATGACTAAGTGAAAGTTGGGTACAAATACAAACCCTAGAAAACTGTACCCCGTGTGTGCTACCCCACTATAGCCTACAATAGCTATGTCATATAAATCTGACTGTTGACCATGTGAGTTGTTGCCGCGTCTTTCATTAGCATTTTTGCGCTTGTTTGGTCCATGGTGCGACCAGGTTTCTTGCAGTATTTGCAAAAGCGCCCTTTCTTTTTTTGTGACTCCCCTTCGGTTGCTCCAGCGAATTACACTAATTTCTCCCGCTTGCGGTTCTTCTCATTGTACAGATCGATCTCCTTCTGCTTGGAGAGGAGCATGTCGCAAAGAGCGGACTCGGAGATGGTTGCTCGAGCGCGGAGCAACGAGTGGCATTGACGCCAATCGGGTCCTAGTTCGGAGAGGACCATTGAGAAGAACATGTCGTCAAGGACGGTTCCGCTGCACTTCTTGATGTGGTCGTGTAGATTGCGGTATCGATTAATATACGGCCGCTTTCTCGCCTTGATGTTTTTTTACTGATGTTAGTTGATTGAGCAGGCGACTCATGGTAACTAAATCCGTTACCATGTGTGAATTCCGCAGGTGCCCCCAAGACACTTGCGCTTGTGCCCACTCCGATTTGTAGGAGCAGATGCCAAGCTGCTCGACGGGGGAGAGATTTCGGAGAAGAGCGGTGTACGCGAAAAGGGACTTGTGGTAGTAGTGATTCTTCTCCTCGATGTTTCCTTCCGATTGAAAATGTAAGGTCACGTCGTAGTACATCCAGATCTGCGCGGTTGTTGCGAGGAGCTAAAAAATGAAGCTCTACATGTAGAAATCCTTATCGTCAAATTGAGTTAAGGTTTACAGCTTTGAGGTCAAAACGAACTTCGTTTGCATTGTTGCGATTGCCTCTATTTGTGCACGTTGTTGACTGTCGTCCGCAGGAGCTGAAGCTTGACGGTTGTCAAAGGTAAAGGACCTCTCAGAGTTGACGCGGCAGTGTTCTCCAATGAGAGGTAGTCCAGCAACTCCTCTTGCGTTGCTTGAGCCGTCAATGCCCATGGCTTGATGGCTCTCAAGGGCGTTGATGCGAGCGACGTGCTCATCAACGAGGGCGGCGCTGACGGAAGTCACTGCTGATGGCGCATTATTCGTTGCTGGTGGTGGGCCCGGAAAGTCTAAGTAGCTTTCCGTTCAGGAGCCATAGTGATGCAGACTTGTAACATGTACGGCATTTAATGAGTAATTATTTAATGAATTTGTTCTAGGAAGAACAAGAACTTGGTAGATCCTGTAATCCACGCTTGCTCTCATACCATATTGATATAACCGGGAACCGTAGTGGATAGGATAAGAAGTACTAAGTTGTGAGAAGACAATGAAGTCTTGTAATGACATTATCAATAATAGTCGAAAGATAACAAGATTATTCCAAGATAGAAGTACGATGATATCAATAACAATCTAGCTAGATATGTACTCTGAGGGGTACATTCCCTTATGAAATATATTGCATTGCTACAGTAACCGCGACTATTACTCGACAGTTACCATTGTCAGAACATTATAGCTTATACTTTTATGTAGGCTGTAGTGGGGTAGCCCATAAGGGGTACAACCCAATTAGGGTTAGTACTTTTACCCAACTAATTCATAGTTCATTTCATCCATTCTCATTTCTCGTCATGGTATCGAGCAGGTTCCTGAGTGGGAATGCTGCCTAGGGCCCACCACGATTTTTTCTTCCCTGCCCGGAGCGCACTTCGCTCCTACCCGAGTAGCGCCTCGAGCCGCCCTTAGTGGCCACCTTTGGCCGCCCTTACGGCCCCTAGTGCCGCCTTCTACGGCCCCTCGCGCCGCCCTTACGGCCCCGCTTAGGCCCCTTACGGCCCCGTCGCGGCCTCGCCTAGGCCCCTCCGCGGCCCCGTCTGGCCCCTCACGGCCTCGCTTACGCCCCTTACGGCCCCGTCGTGACCTCACCTAAACCCTTCCGCGGCCCCGCCTGGCCCCTTACGACCCCGCCTAGGCCCCTTCACGACCTCGCCTAGGCCCCTCCGCGGCCCCATCTAGCCCCTTACGGCCCCTTCACGGCCCCGTTTGGCACCTCTTGCGGCCCCGTATAAGCCCCTCCGCGGCCTCGTCTGGCCTCGCTACGACCCCTTCTGGCCCCGCTACGGCCCCGTCTAGCCCCGCTACGGCCTCTTCTGGCCCCGCTACGGCCGCGTCTCGCCCCGCTACGGCCCCGTCTGGCCCTGCTACGGCCCTGTCTGGCCCCGCTAGAACCCCATCTGGCCCCTCTGTGGCCCCGTCGCCACCTTCGGCCCCACCGCCATCTACGGCCCCGCCACCACCTTCGGCCCCGTCACCACCTGCGGCCCCGTAGCCACCTGCGGCCCCGCCGCCCAGCGCCCGCACCGCCGAGCAGCCGAACCGCCGAGCAGCTGAGCATCCTGACAGCCGAGCCGCCCAGCAGCCGAGCCGCCCGACCGCCGAGCCGCCCAGCAACCGAGCCGCCCGACCGCCGAGCCGCCTAGCACCGAGCAGCCGAGCCGCCCGACCGACGAGCCGCCCAGCAGCCAAGCCGCCTGACCACCGAGCCGCCGAGCAACTGACCCGACCGCCAAGCCGCCAAGCCGCCCGACCGCCCCACTTGCCTGGTAAGAGCATAGTCTCTGCCACTGAAATGCCCTACCCCACTGTAATCACTGCCTGTCTACTACTGTTATGGCCTCCCCTAGCGTTCTCACCTTCAACGGTGAGGGTCGGGCAGTGGACTTTGAGGTCTGGGTAGATGATATGCAGCTTTTCCTGCAGTGCGATAGGACAGACGGCCTCTCCCTGTTTGACCTCACTTCTGGTGCCTCCCCTGCCCCTACTGCTGATGCTGACGCCACTGTTTGCTCACAGTGGGCCACGCGCGATGCTGCTGCTCGCCTTGCTGTGCGCCACCACTTACCGACCACTGAGCGTGCACACTTTAGCCAGTACAAGAGTGCTCAGACCTTGTACGATGCTGTAGTTGCACGCTACTCTTCCCCTGCCACTGCTGCACTGAGCCGCCTCATGCTACCGTACCTCTTCCCTGACCTTGGTGCCTTTCCCACAGTCGCTGACCTCATTACGCACCTCCGCACAAGTGACACTCGCTACCGCGCTGCGCTTCCTGCTGAGTTCTGCGCCAACAACCCCCGCCCTATGTATATCACCCTCTACTACATAGTCACCCGGCTCCCTGACTCTCTACCCGTAGTCACGAACCACTTCCTCTCAGTCTGCCCCACCACTCTCACTGTTGACCTCCTCGAGAAGGCCCTCCTGAGTCAGCAGCAGGGAAGAGCATAGTCGCTGTAGGAGCCTCTCTTGGTGACCCTCGCACCCTTGTCTTTGAGGGGTGTTCTCCCTCCCCCCTCTTGCCCTCTGTTGCCTCTTCTGTTGCGGCCGACCTCTTTAGTTTCGAGTCGGTCGGCGCTGCGTCTGCCCCAAGCAGGAGACGCCGCACCGGCAAGGGCAAGGGGGGCAAGGGCGCTCGAGGGGTTGGAGGGGGCGGTGGAGGTGGTGGTGGAGGCAGTGGAGGGAGTGCGGATGGTGGTGGGAGTGGTGCCGGGGTTGGTGGCAGCGGCGGCAGCAGTGGAGGCGGCGGAGGCGGTGGAGGTGGCGGAGGGAGCAGAGGCGGCGGAGGTAGTGGAGGAGGCGGAGGTGGGGGAGGCGGCGGAGGCGGCGGCGGCAGCGGAGGCGGAGGTGGTGGAGCGGGTCGCGACTCTGCGCCGAGGAGTGGCGCCGGTGGTGGTTAGCGCCAGCAGCAGCAGAGGAGTGGTGTGACCCTCTCCCCTTAGTAGCTTCGTGAGTGGTACACTGCACGTCAGCGCGATGGGGGTTTTGGTCCTTGCGCTAACGTCCTCCGTACCGGCGACCGCGCTGGTGAGCAGTGCAAAGGCCCGTACTCCACCCAGCGCTCCTTTGGTCGCCTGACGGACGCGTGGCGTCGCCAGTTCCCTGAGGCGTTAGAGATCCCTTGCTCAGGAGATCTGACTAAGGACGGGGTTTCTATCTTTGATCTTGACTTTGATGCTATTCTTGCTGCCATGTATGTGACAAAATTAGAAGAAAGAAGAGGGGGTTGAACTAGCAGGAATGAGGATACAAATAGCAAAACCCTAGAAGGGTTGTACTCGCTATAGAGCACCCCACTACAGGCTAGAGCACAAGATAACATTCTGACAATATGCTGTTGCTAATAGTGTTGAGGGTGCCTGTTACCTGTGTGTACCGCCTGACTCGGGCATTGAGGCCGCTGCTCTAGGTGGTGGTGAGGCTGCTGCTCTAGGTGCTAGTGCGTCTACTGCTCCAGGTGCTAGTGCGTGTGCTGCCCCAGGTGCTGGTGAGTCTGCTCTCTCAGGTACTACGTCGGCTCAGGCCTTACACACCTTCACCTTGGACTCGGGTGCGTCCCGCTCCTTCTTTCGTGACCGCACCACTCTTACGCCGCTCAGTCAGCCGGTTGTAGTCTCCCTGGCAGACCCCTCTTGGGTTCCTATCCTTGCTAGCTTCTCCACTATCCTACCGTGCCCAGCAGCCCCCTCTCGCACCTTGTCTGGTCTCAACCTCCCCTCGTTCTCTACGAACTTTGTGAGTGGAGCGGACATACAGGATAGAGGGGTTGACCAGTTCACTCCTGCGAGTCAACAAGTGACCCACTGCACGTATGCTCGGACAGGCCGACACTTGACCACGTTCACCCGTCAGCCAAGGTCGAGCCTGTACACCCTTACTTCTGAGTCTCCTCCTCTTGCTGAGTCTTCCAAGGTAGCTGCGTCAAGTCAGGTGTTTGCTGAAGCGTCCACGTCAGGTCCTGGGTTTGCTCCCTGCTCGTGTCATCTGCTGTCCCACCAAACTCTCCTTTGGCACCACCGCCTTGGTCACCCCTCCTTGCCTCGTCTCCGAGGCATGGCCTCCCGTGTCCTTGTCTCTGGTCTCCCTTCGTATCTCCCTCCCCTTCCTCCGGGGCCTGGCCTTACCTGCGTCCCGTGCGTCGTGGGGCGATAGCGCGCCGCCCCTCACTTCACCGAGTTTCCTCCGACAGAGGCTCCGCTGCAAACTCTCCACATGGACGTGTGGGGCCCAGCCCGCGTCAGTAGGCAGGGGCCAGAGCGGTACTTCCTGCTGGTGGTTGACGACAACTCGCGTTACACCACACTCTTTCCCTTGCCCAGCAAGGGTGAAGTCGCTGAGGTGTTGATCGACTGGATCTGCGCAGCTTGTCTCCAGCCCAGAGAGAGTTTGGGCTCTGACTTTCCTGTTCTGCGTCTGCACTCGGACAGAGGCGGGGAGTTTTCCTCTGCCCGTCTAGGAGCCTTCTGTCGTGCACGGGGCATCCGCCAGATTTTCACGCTTCCGGCCTCTCCACAGCAAAATGGGATTGCTGAGCGCCGCATTGGCATGGTCATGGACGTCGCTCGTACGTCCATGATGCATGCGGCTGCCCCCCATTTTCTGTGGTCGTTTGCGGTTCAGTACGCCGCGCATCAGCTCAACCTTCAGCCCCGGGTCTTCTTGCCAGAGACCTCCCCCGCCTTGCGGTGGACCGGGAAGGTTGGCGATGCGTCTGCGTTTCGGGTCTGGGGATCTCGGGCGTTTGTCCACGACTTGTCTGCGGACAAGCTGTCCCCCCATGCTGTTCCCTGCGTTTTCCTTGGCTTCCCCCATGACGCGCCTGGGTGGCAGTTTTACCACCCCACCTTGCGCCGTGTTCTGTCCTCCCAGGACGTCACCTTTGACGAGTCGGTGCCTTACTACCGTCTCTTCCCCTACCGCACTGCGCCCCTCCCCCCGCCGCCGCTCTTCCTTGCGTGAGGTGCTACCCAGGTAGACCCCCTCCCCCCTCAGGGTCCTGCCCCGTCAGGTGTGTCCCAGGAAGACGCTGTTGAGCCTGTCGAGGTAGCTGTAGACTCAGGTGCTGCTATAGGTGCTAAGCCTGCGGGTGCCGGGTCTGGGGGTGCTGAGTCTAGGGGTGCTGAGTTAGGGGTTGCTGAGACTGGGGGTGCTGAGCCAAGGGGTGTTGCGCCTAGAAGTGCTGAGCGTGGGGGTGCTAGGTCTGCTCGTGTAGCCACCGGCGGTACTTTGTCGAGGCGGGATTCGCTCTCTTTAAAGGAGCTGCGTGGGTGTTTCGCCCGCCGCTGGAGACGTGTTGCTGAGTCCAGGGGTGCTGCTGAAGTAACTGGAGTTTGTCGTGTTGGAGCTGCTATCGGTGCTGGTGCTGCTGGAGCTGGAGCTTCTGGGAGTGTTGGTGCTGGTGTTTATACTGGCGGGTGGGGGTGCTGCTGAGGCTGCTGGTGCTGACAGTCCTACTGGAGTTGGTGCAGCTGGAGCTGGAGGTGCTCGGGGTGTTGGCGCTGGCAGTGCTGCTAGCGCAAGTGCTTCTGACGGTGCTGGAGTTTGCGCTGTTGGAGTTGGAGGTGGTGCTGGCGTTGGTGCTGCCGCTAGGGGTGCTAATGCCGTCCTTGCTGGTTCTGGAGGCCCTGCGCGGCCGAGGCCGTACTTCGTTCCGCTCCTGGAGCAGGTTCTTGGTCTCCCGCCCTCTACTGGTCCTGCTCCTCCCTTAGAGTGTCCACCGCTTGTCCAGTCGCAGTCACAGTTACAGCCCGCCTCCTCTCTACCTGCTCCTCCCTACACTGGTCCTACTGGAGGTCTTGCTGAGCGTCGTGAGCCTACGTCTCGTCCTGTGTTGCCTCTTCGTGGTGCTCGCACTAGCGGTCGTAATGCACGTCCGCGTCCTCCTGCGATCCCCGGCACACACCAGATGGCGCTGCGTCCTTTCACTCCTCCACTGTGTGTCCCGTTGCTGTCTCCTCCAGAGTCCTCTCTTCCTTCTCTTGCTGACCCAGAGTTTGACTCCCTTCGTGCTGCTAGTCCTTTGGTCACGCGCCTTCTTGCTACTATCGTCACTGACCCTTCCTTTGAGTCCACTGCTGCGTCTGCTCTAGTTGCTGAGCTTGTCGACTTTGTTGCTCGCTGTCGTCAAGACTACGCTGCCAGTCTTGTTGCTGAGTCTGAGTTTGTTTGTCCTCTGTCCGTCGAGGGTGAGTGTGCTCTTAGCACGGACGTCCTTGAGGACAGGCAAGAGGAGTTCCAGTGCTTTGCGGCTGCTTTGCTCCATCTCGTGTCCACGCAGATTGCCCCTGAGGGAGACCCAGATGCAGCACACATCCCGACTTCTCGATAGTACGTTGAGGCGATCGAGGGTCCCTACTCCTCTCAGTGGCAGTCGGCCATGGACACAGAGATGGCTTCCTGGAAGTCCACAGGCACCTACGTCAACGAGGTTCCCCCACCTGGGGCAAACATTGGTAGTGGCATGTGGATTTTCAAGGTGAAGTGGCCGCCAAGTTCTCCGCCTGTCTTCAAGGCGCGTTACATGGCTCGAGGCTTCAGTTAGCGACAGGAAGTTGACTACTTTCAGACCTTCTCTCCCACCCCAAAGATGACCACTCTTCGGGTGCTACTGCACATAGCCGCTCAGCGCGACTACGAGCTTCACTCTCTTGACTTCAGCTTTGCTTTCCTGCAAGGCAGCCTGCACGAGGAGATCTGGCTGCGCCGCCCTCCTGGCTTCACTGGGTCGTTTCCTCCTGGTACTCAGTGGAGCCTCCAGTCTACGGTCCTCGCCAGGCGCCCCGTGAGTGGCACGACACACTAAGAACTACACTTGCGGCTCTTGGGTTTGCTCCTTCTACAGCTGACCCGTCGCTGTTTCTGCGCACTGACACCTTTCTGCCGTCGTTCTACATCCTTGTGTACGTCGACGACTTGATCTTTGCCACTGCTGACACTGTTGGACTCGCCCATGTGAAGTCCGAACTGCAGAAGAGACACACGTGCACAGACCTGGGTGAACTGCGCAGCTACTGTGGCTTGCAGATCCCCCGGGACATAGCACAGCGCACCATTACCCTGACTCAGTCACACATGGTGCAGCAGGTCCTTCAGCGGTTCGGCTTCATGTACTCCTCGCCTCAAACCACTCCTCTGCCTACTCGCCACTCGCTCTCAGCTCTACCTTCAGATGAGTCCGTAGAGTCAAGTGGCCCGTACCCAGAGCTTGTTGGCTGCCTCATGTACCTGATGACCTGCACACGACCTGACCTTGCATACCGTCTTAGCATCTTGGAACGCTATGTTGCTCCTGGGAGACACAGACCAAAGCATATGGCTGTAGCGAAGAGGGTGTTGCGCTATGTGTGCAGTACGTCGGGCATGGGGCTAGTGCTTGGAGGGCAACGTCGAGTAGTCCTCACAGGTCACGCTGACGCTTCTTGGGCTGACGACCAGGCTCTACAGCGGTCGTTACAAGGTTAAACCTTCAGCCTTGGCTCCGGCTCTGTTCCGTGGCGGTCTACCCGCTCGTCTTCTGTTCTCAGCTCCAGCTGTGAGGCTGAGATCAACGCAGGGGCCATGGCTGCAAAGGAGCTACGCTGGCTCACCTACCTACTGACTGACTTAGGAGAGCCGCCTTGTTCTCCTCCAGTTATGTACGTAGACAACAAGGCCATGCTAGCCTTGTGTCGGGAGGACAGACTGGAGCACAGAATGAAGCACATTGCTCTTTGCTACTTCCTGGCTCGTGAGCTGCAGTAGCGTGGTCAGCTCCGTCTCACCTACGTGGCCTCTAAGACCAACACTGTTGATATCTTCACCAAGGCCCTTTCGCCTTGTAATCATCAGCATTTCTGTACTTTGGTAGGTCTTGTGCCTACCTGGCCTCACTTGCTCACTTCTTGATCTTGTTTGTACTGTACTCTTTCTGTACCTGCACTTGCTTGTTT